CAAGAATGCTGGCCGTAGAGACACTCCCAGACCACAAAATGTACCTGACCCTAGTCCTGAATATTGTGAGCCCTATGGACGCATACTTAATAATGAGATCCTGAGGAAGGATGGATTATGGTCGCCAAAGGAGAACCAGAAGGAGGTTAATCCAGTGCCCAAACCGCCGCGTAACCAGGGGACCCCTACAGAAAAGAGAATCACACAAATGAACGAGAAGGAGATAGCGAGTGAATTTGTGAAACAGTTCCTTGGTAACGTTGACATGGAGCAAGCCTTGGAAGAGGCCCCACCAGATTTCCCACCACCAGAAAGGTCAGTTCAGGATCATTTTTGTGGATGCCTCGTCACTTTCACTTGAAACACTGGAGAGCGTTTTTATATGGAGGTTGATGTGAAATTTTAAATGGAAGTGATCTGCAGGATAAATGTTGTGCTCCTTTGTTAAGAACTTTTAAAATTTATATCCAAGTCTTTGGCAGGTTTTGTATGCAGAAAATGTATTTTAATGTTGAATCAAAACCTGTTTAGTCTGCTTTTTGGGGGTCACTGGCTATATTTATGCATTTACAGTTTTACTGCATTGGAAAATTTGTTTTGTTTTTGTTATTGTCAAGACCATGTATTATTTATGTGAAGGTTAAAAGGTGAAATGTGCCTTGATGTTTGGATGGTGATGTTTTTTCTGTATAAATACTTGGTGACATTAAGGGTATTAAAAAAATCATGGTAAATTTTCTTTAAATCTAAGTAAGTCTGAACAGAATTATGGAATCAACTATATACTTTTAGAATAGAGAGAGGCACTCCTGCATGGCTACCTGCTTTACCCTACTTCCACATGCACATAAGTATACACAGGCATTTGTAGAAAAAAAACATACATAAACACACACACACACACACACACACACACACACACACACACACACACACACACACACACACACACACACACACACACACACACACACACACACACACACACACACACACATACACACAAATACACACACACACACACACACACACACACACACACACACACACACACACACACACACACACACACACACACACACACACACACACACACACACACACACACACACACACACACACACACACATACACACACACACACACACATACACACACACACACACACACACACAAACACACACACACACACACATACACACACACACACATACACACACACACACACACACACACACACACACACACACACACACACACACACACACACACACACACACACACACACACACACACACACACACACACACACACACACACACACACACACACACACACACACACACACACACACACACACACACACACACACACACACAGTTATGTACACCCTGCTGTTGGTTTTAAGGTGCAGGGAATTTAAGTTGCATGAGAGCTGTTGTGTGAACTTGGCAACCTTTGATATTGTGTTTTGGAATGGAATACCTGCGTTTGCTCTTATTACTTTAGTTATTTAAAGTTTGTGTGTGTGGCTTAAGGCTGATTGTAATAATAACTTGTTCTAAAATGTTCTAATTAGTGTTTTGTAAGGAAGAACGTGCAAGATTTATTGGCATTTCCAGCAGGGTGAAAATGCTAAAATCTCATTGTGTTTTTATTTTATTATTATTTTTTTTTTTTTTGTGATGTGGTCTGAGGTTGATGCCAAGAAGAAGAAAAAGAAAAAAAAAGAAGAGATGAAGAAAGTATTGACCATTAATAACAAGTTCCAGCTTTAGGCCATGTGATTCCTGCTTCATTCGCAGCAGGAAAGTTAATGGAAGACTTATAAAGACAGTACTAAATGTTAAGTTAGGATCCCCAGTACTAGATTACTAAAAACTTTTTTTTTCTTGTAAATATTCAAATACTTGTCTTGTTTACCTAGAATCTTGCAGCAACAGGAAATTGTGCAATGTAATGGCTTGTGTTGATAAGTAGTTTTTTTCTTTTCTTTCTTTTTTTTTTAATGGTAGTGGATGTATGAATATATTTTGACATTGATGGTAATTTTATTGTCATCTTCAGCAAGCTGCTATATGGACAGATTTTTCCTGTTTGCCATATTGAGTCTGGGTCAGCTAATGCCTATATTGAATGCAGTTCTTACATTTATAAACATAAAAGAGAGCTTATAGGCCACTAATTCTTAATATTACATGTTATGGGGTTTGGTTACTTATTAATTGAATAACAAATTTACCGTCTTCAGGTCATATTCATTGCCAATTTTTCTGTTCATAAGATAGTTCATTGTAGAGAGACTGCAATTCATTCATATGTATGAATTTTTAAGGAACATTTGTTATGATATGTGGATTAGTTCCAATCATGGGAAGTTGAGCTTGTGGAAATTAAAGACTTTGATGATGCATATTAAAAATGAGATTTACTTTGCCATGCACAAGCTTATTAAGTGAGATTTTGAATGCATATACCTTTCCGCTATTTGATAAGGCTA